CCTTTGGTAATGAACTGGCCCCTGCCTGCAGCTGCCCGACTCCTGTTCTCTGCCCAGCTCTAGCACCATCCACCATTCTGCAAACAGGTACCCCTTAGTCACTCCTCAAACCCACTGCGTTGTCCACTTTCAGGAGGGCAGACCCAGAAAGAGGGCTGTACAGATTCTAGGAGTGACTTGGGGCCATTTGGGTAGGGAATTCTGGGTTCCTAGATATGTACTCAGAGTGTCGTGTTGAAGGGGCTCCTGCTCATGGACCCAGAGATTCTTATCCCATGGGGTGGAGTGTGGCAGAAGAGGGCCAGAGCCTTCCCCTGCTAGATGAGGCTAAAGCCCAGGAGGGGTGAGAAAGCCCCAGATCCAATACTGCCACCCCGTGACCTTGGACAAGTTCCTGATGCTCAGCTCCCTCATCTGTAAAATGGGCCAGCACCTCTGCCCCTAGCCCAGGGCTGATGGGAGGGTCGACATGAAGACAGAGATGTGCATCTGTCTGGGGTCCCCAGCCTGGGGATGAGGAAGACATGGCAGGCAGATGTGATGCAGAGGTGTGGGACTCGGGCAGCCCTCCAGGAAGTCAGGCCTCCGAGGATGATCCTGGGAGGAGGGGCCGCTGAGCCAGCAGAATTGCTGAGGCTCATCCTGGAGTGGAGCTGGCGGCAGCTTCTCCGCAGCCGGGACTGGCCTGCTTCCCAGATGCACGGCAGCCACCAGCCAGCCCACAGCCCCTGCCCCTGCCCACCGGCTGTGTGCCTGCTCAGGTGCTCCCCAGTGCCCCGCCCAGCCCCCCAAAGCCTTTTGCCTGACCCTTCATGCGTAAAGTGAGGATGGTGATCACGCCCTCCCCATGGGCAGCAGGAAGTACGTGGCATACGCTAGCTGCCTTGGTTTCTGTCATTCTCGTGGTGGCCGCCTCTGTAGAGCACTTAGCTGGTGCCTGGTACATCACAGAGGATCAGCTGTGTGTACCTGTCCGTCTGTCCGACCAGCAGAGATGCTGGAGGTGCTTGGGCTGGGCAGGGGCCTTGCCTGGTTTGTCAGCTACCCCCCAGGCTTGGGACATCTGCAGCCTTTGGAGAGCTGTTCCCCTACCCTCAGCCCTCATGCTCCCCCAAGAGGCCCTACAGCAAAGACTGTTTAAACAGCTCATTGGGACCCCATGCACATCTGGCTGAGCCTTTCCTCAGCCCCACCCTTCTCTCCTGCTTTTAGGTTCCCGCACGGGCTTATACAGCTCCAGACGTCCTTCAAGTGCTGGAGTTTGAAGGACTTTTCCTTTCCCAGCCGTCCAAGGCCACATATTCATCTGCCATTCCCCAAAGCTGCCTCTGAGCCTGCCTTTAGGGAGCTCCTATCTACTTCGAGAGGAAGAGGAGGAGGACATACGGGGCATTGAGGCTGCCCAGGGAGTCATTGCCTCAGCAGAAGGGGTGAGATCAGGGCATAGTCAGGCCCAGCAGGATGGGGCCTGGCCTAGGGCCAGACCAAACCTGGATTGTATCATGTGCCAGCCATGTGCCCCTTGACATGTGATTCTACACATTGGAACCTTAGTCCTCTCGTCTCGAAAATGGCGTGGCTACTCCTTAGCTGAGCCATTTGAAGACTTGCGCATCATGGTTCGGCAGTTCCTCAAAAAGTTGAACGTAGAGTTACCATATGGCCCAGCAATTCCAATCCCAAGAGAAACGAAAACATGCACTCACAAATACCTGTACATGAATGTCTGTTAGCAGCATTATTCACAGTAGTCAAAATGGAGCAAACAACCCAAATTTCTATCAACAGATGAATGGATAAATAAAATGTGGTCTATCCATAAAATGGAATATTATTCAGCCAAAAAAAGGAACTGAAGAGCCATTTAGTACTTATATGTACTACAATGAGGATAGGCCTCGAAAACACTATGCTCAGTGAAAACAGCCAGATGCAAGGACCACATATTGTATGATTTAATTTACAGTAGTTTCTTGGTATCCTTGGGGGATTGGCTCCAGGACCCCCCTGAGATACCAAAAATCTGAGAATGCTCAAGAGCGTGATGCTGATAACACCAAGGTCCAGGGGTTGATCCCCATACCAGTTAGCTCCAAAAATGAAAAAAGAAAGATGATGTAGTGTTTGCATGTAACCTATGCACATCGTGGGGCTGGCCCGTGGCTCACTTGGGAGAGTGTGGTGCTGATAACCTATGCACATCCCCCCTTACACTTTGTCATCTACGGATTGCTTATACCTAATATAATGTAAATGATATGTAAATAACCATTATACTGTATTGTTTATTTGCATTTTTGTTACACTGTTATTTTAAATTATTTTTTGTCAAATTATTTTTGGCATTCAATTCTATTTTTCCACGAACTTTTTGAAGTACCCTCACATATGAAGTGTCCAAAATAGGCAAATCCATAGAGACAGAAAGTAACTTAGTGACTGCCAGGGGCTGGGACAGGAAAGGGAAGATGGGAAGTGCTGCTTAATGGGTACAGGTTTCCTTTCGGGTTGATGAAGATGTTTTGGAGCTAGATAGAGGTGGAGGTTGCATGACACTGTCAGAGCACTAAGTGCCACTGAATTGTTCACTTTTAAATGACTAATTTTATGTTATGTGAATTTCACCTCAATTAAAACAAAAACACCCAGCACAAAGCCCCACACAGAATAATTTCTTAAAACGATATTAAAGGTGCTGAAAAGCAGTTCAGCAGGTAAAGGGGTAGAGGGATAAGCATTCTAGGCAAGGGCAAGGGTTCAAAAAAGAGGGTGTGGTAAAGTCAGAGATTGTCCTCTACTCTGGCCGGGGCACATGACTTGTGCAGAGGCCAGAGGGAGGAAGCCTCCGGTCAGTTGGCAGGGGCAAGGCCCAGAAGTCTGGAGGGTGATGGGGGACCCGTGAAAGCTAACCTAGGTTTTTAAAAGACCACTGTGCAATGGAGAAGACGGTCTGGAGGGGGCAGAAGTGGGTGTGACAAAGTGGGCAGAAGTGGCTGTTACAGGGGGGTGGGGCCGGGGGCTAGAGCCGGGGCAGTGGAAACAAGAGGACAGGGAGGGAGTTCAGTAAAATCGGTGGCAGAAGGGAATGGTGAGGGAGGAGGGTGCGGCTGGAGCACGCCTAGCCGTGATACATGGGTTGGCACTGCACACAGAAGGGGAAGCAGTCAATGATGAATTGTCTTGGCCATGGAAGGTGGTGGTGTCTGCGGGGCATTTGAGGGACAGTGTCCAACAGGGAGCTGGGTGTGCTTCCGGGGCCGAGGCCCCAGAACCATCTGAGCTGGAGACGAGAAGAAGAGGCCCCCAGCAGGGAATGGTATTGGAAGCCACAGTGGCTGCAAATCCCTGGTGATGGTGCAGTGTGCAGAGAGAGAACTCTGGGGGGTACCCATCTTTGGGGGAAGGCAGAGAGAGATTGAGTGCCGGGCAAAAAGCGAGCGGTTGGGAGTTTTCAGGTGCAGTTCTGTCGACCTTGGCGCAGACGTGTCAAGCTGTGGGAAGAAAAGTATCCACTGGATTTGGCTGAGACTTTCAGTGACCTTGACGAATTTTCTTTGGAGAGCTGGGGGTAAAAGGTGGATTGAACTGGGTTGAGGAATGAATGGGAGGTGAGGAAGTGGAGCTAGCAAGCCAGGGAGGATGGCTCTTTGAAGAAGAGAGAGCCCTAAGGAGAGCGTTTGGGATTGTTTTATGGTGTTTAAAAATCAAGGGGTAGGGCCGAGCCCGTGGCGCACTCGGGAGAGTGCGGCGCTGGGAGCACCGCAGCGCTCCCGCCGCGGGTTCGGATCCTATATAGGGATGATCAGTGCGCTCACAGTGCTCACTGGCTGAGCGCGGTGCAGCCGGTCTCTAAAAAGGACAAAAAATAAAAAATAAAAATAAAATAAATAAAAATCAAGGGGTAGGTGGAAGAGGTGGGGAGGGTATAGGAGGGAGGACTCCTGGGACCCAGGGCCTGGGTGGATGGGTGGGGGACTTGGCCTTGGTCAAGGGGCCAGATACACCCTCTCTGCGGCCAGAGGAAGGAAGGGGGTGTAGCCATGTTTCCAAGTGTGGTGGGAAGAAACCATGGGCCAAAGATGAGGCCACCTGCGTGGAGTGTGGAGGCTGGCATAGAAAAGGAGGCATAAGTGTGTGAGGTCTTGGAAGGGTCCCTGGGCTGAGTGGGGTACCACAGGGTCGGGCTGGGGCTGGACAGGTTTGAAAGGGCCCAGACAAGGGTTCCCTAGCCTAGCAAATAAAAGGATGTCCAGTTAAATTTGAATTTCAGGTAAACAAGTAATACTTTTTTTTTTTTTCTTTAAAGGATGACCGGTAAGGGGATCTTAACCCTTGACTTGGTGTTGTCAGCACCACGCTCACCCAGTGAGCAAACCGGCCATCTCTATATGGGATCCGAACCCGGGGCCTTGGTGCTATCAGCACCGCACTCTCCCGAGTGAGCCACGGGCCGGCCCACAAGTAATACTTTTTTTTTTTTTCTTTAAAGGATGACCGGTAAGGGGATCTTAACCCTTGACTTGGTGTTGTCAGCACCACGCTCACCCAGTGAGCAAACCGGCCATCTCTATATGGGATCCGAACCCGGGGCCTTGGTGCTATCAGCACCGCACTCTCCCGAGTGAGCCACGGGCCGGCCCACAAGTAATACTTTTTAGTATCAGTATATTCCATGCAATGTTTGGGATATGTTTATACTAAAAAAATAAAAAATAAAAAAATTATACCTTGGTTATCTGAAATATAAGTCCTGTAATTTACCTGGCAATGCTAGCCTGGCCTGGTGGAGTAGGGGGTAGGGAGAGGGCACGAGGCCAGCATGAGCCTGCCTGGGGCCCAAGCCTGGAGAATGGGCAGCACTGTCAGGCGGCGGGGGCCGAGGGGGGAGAAGGCTGGGGCCGCTGCTGGTTCTTCCCGGTGTGAGCAACCCCCCGTCCCAGAACTTTGGTCTCGTCCCACCCACCCCCCGCCCGCCTCATGGTCTCGCCCTAAAGACCCATCGATAACTCTACGCTCGGCCTCGGCTTCTATCGACTCACTCCGGCTCCCCTCGCCGTCCTGGACCACGGCGGAGTGCGGATCCGTAAGTAAAGCACGGAGGCCGCGGGACGAGAGCGGGGAAACGGCTGCTGGGTGGCTGGGGGAGCGCAGCCGGGGGGTGCCGGCTAGCAGGACTGGGGCAGAGCGTTCAGCGACGCGCAGGGGAGGTTGCGGGTACAGCCCGGCAGCGCCCCTGCCCATCAGGGCCAGCCGCCGGCCTGCCACGCATGCGCAGCCGCGGCGATCGTGGTCCCCCGCGGCCTGCCCGCCGCTGTGCGCATGCGCGGCCCGCCCCTGCGGCAGAGCAGCGTCCCGGGTATGACCGCCTTCTGCCCGCCGCGCCGGGCTGGTGTCCCCGCCGGGTACGGTGGGCGGGGCACCGAGCACGCGCCGCGAAGCCTCGGAGCTTCCCCTCGCCGGTTGTCACGCGAGTCCCTGCACCTATCTGAGCCTCAGTTTCCCCATCTCTAAAATGGGAATGATGATATTTGTCTTAGCATTAGCACCAAGTGGACCTGTAATATCCTTAGTACATAGAGGGGACCCCCTAAATACTTCACATTTATCTCCTCTCCAAATTCTCTGGCCTTTGATCCCTGCCGTTCAGATCTTGGGCCCTGTGCACACCTCAGTCTTCCCAGCAGCCACACCATGAACACCTCCCCAGGCACGGTGGGCAGTGACCCGGTAATCTTGGCCACTGCGGGCTATGACCACACTGTGCGGTTCTGGCAGGCCCACAGCGGGATCTGTACCCGCACGGTGCAGCACCAGGACTCTGTATCCTCCACCTGAGCGGCGGGCAGGGTGGTGCTGGGCCGGAGTCTGGGTGGGATGACAGCCTGTGCAAAGGCCTCGGATGAGGATGCAGCAGCTCAAGCCAGAATGCGGAGGCCTCGAGGGTCCCAGGGCTTCCTTCCCGTCATCCTCCTTAACAGACCCAGCAGGTGAATGCACTGGAGATCACACCAGACCGCAGCATGATTGCTGCTGCAGGTACCTCTGATCCTTGACCTCTAGCCCCTGACCTCTGGTAGGTTGACCCGGGCACAGCCAAGCTTCAGTTCAGTCTGTGTCCCTAGGTTACCAGCACATCCGTATGTATGATCTCAACTCCAATAACCCCAACCCCATCATCAGCTATGACGGAGTCAACAAGAATATCGCCTCTGTGGGTTTCCATGAGGACGGCCGCTGGATGTACACGGGCGGAGAGGACTGCACAGCCAGGATCTGGGACCTCAGGTATGAGGTGCTGGGCAGGAAGAGCCTGGGCTGAAGGTGGACCACTGTCAAAATGTCCACCAAACTGAGGAGGTTATCTTGAGACTCAAAATGAAGCAGGCAATTCCGTGTGGTAAAGCAAAGAATTTTACTAAAGGGTAATTTACATATAGGATGATAGATTGGGCAGGCGACCTGGAGGCTTAGGCAAGGTTTCTCTACACCGCCTCTTGGTAAGCCCAAGTTTATATAGGCAATTCACACAAAGCAGTAGAAGAAACCAAGAGGCACTTACTAACATCAAGAAACAAGCTAACGTCACTAACTCCAGATGTCTTATGACAAGGATTACTAACTATGGTGGTCTTGTGATGTAGATGGCCTGATGGGCTGTTGCCACTCCAGTCCTTTTTTTTTTTAAAAGATGACCGGTAAGGGGATCTTAACCCTTGACTTGGTGTTGTCAGCACCACGCTCAGCCAGTGAGCGAACCGGCCATCCCTATATGGGATCCGAACCCGGGGCCTTGGTGTTATCAGCACCGCACTCTCCCGAGTGAGCCACCGGGCCGGCCTGGGTGCTAGTTTCCCATGATGAGTTCCACTTGTGAAAGAAAGTCCACCGACTGAGCCATACACTTAACTGTCTATGCTCTGTTCTGTTTGTATATTGCAGTTGAATAAAACCACTACTTAAAAAAGAAATTCAGTTGGAGGGGGAGATAGGATTGCCAGATTTAGCAAATCAAAATATAAAATGCGCAGCTAAATTTGAATTTCAGATAAATGAAAAAAAAATTTTTTTTTTTGGCGGTTGGCTGGCACAGGGATCCGAACCCTTGACCTTGGTGTTATCAGCACTGCTGCTCTAAAAACAGAGCTAACTGACCAGCCCTTAAGAGTGACTTTTTTTTATATAGGATGTTTGTATTGTAACCCTGGGAGGGACCAAACCATTCCCACCCATTCTGACAATAACCAGTGTCGGGCCCTCCCTGACCCTGTCACTCCAGTTCTTAATCATTAAGTTCCCTCTTGGTAGTCAGCAAGCTGTTCCTACCTATTGTTCTAACTACCTTTCCCCTGGTTACTGTATAACTTGTGGGCAAGGTTCACACAAAAGACATAGCAAGTGGTGAGGGCTTCAAGATGGAGTAGGCTATGCTCACAACCTCACAGGCCTGCTGCCTGGGGGTGGAGGGTGGGCCAGGCTGGGAGACCGTCGTAAGTCAGACTTTCTCCAAGCAGAGGCTGAGATGGGGTGCTTTGGGTGTTTGATGTATTCAGGGACCTGAGGACAGGAGGATAGAGTGTATTCCATCAAAGAGCTGGTCCTGGCCTGGCCCTTGGCTTACTCGGGAGAGTGCGGTGCTGATAACACCAAGGCCACGGGTTCGGATCCTATATAGGGATGGCCGGTTTGCTCACTGGGTGAGCGTGGTGCTGACAACACCAAGCCAAGGGTTAAGATCCCCTTACCGGTCATCTTTAAAGAAAAAAACCAAAGAGCTGGTCCTGCCTTGAGGCCAGCGGCCGGCCTTCTATTCCCCCAAAGTCAGTTGCTGGCTTCAGGCTGCCCCCTGGAGGGGAAGGCCGAACCTCATAAGTATTTCCTAGGAGGCAGCTCCCATCAGCAGAGGGACAAAGATGAGTTGGCCAGGGAGAAGGCTTCTGAGTAGGACACCAACATCATCCACTACAGAGTGTGTGTGTCCCCACCCTGCAGGTCCCGGAACCTGCAGTGTCAGCGGATCTTCCAGGTGAATGCCCCCATTAACTGTGTGTGCCTGCACCCCAACCAGGTGAGGGGTACTCTTGGGGGGGGCACCTTGGGGGCTTTGGAGGTCAGGGGTCCTGCCCTGCCTCACCTCCCCTGGACTGCAGGCAGAGCTCATTGTGGGTGACCAGAGCGGTGCTATCCACATCTGGGACTTGAAAACAGACCACAACGAGCAGCTGATCCCCGAGCCCGAGGTCTCCATCACATCTGCCCACATCGACCCCGACGCCAGCTACATGGCAGCAGTCAATAGCACTGTGAGTCCTGGGTGCGGTGCAGAGGTGGGGCAGCTGGGACCCAGCCCTTACCCCCTGCAGATGGCTTGTTTCAGGGTGTTTCTCAGGCTCCTCCTCTTCCCCCACAACCTTGCCTCCCACTCCTGGGCTCCAGCCCCTACCCAGCCACCAATGCCAGAAAGCTGGTGTCACTCCTGATGCCACCTCTCGTTACCTGCCACAGCCCACCCAACAGGTCGGTTGCTTTGGTCTCCAGAGCCTCTGTCAAGTCTGTCTACTTCCTTCTTTTCTTGCTGTCAGCTGATCTCCTGACAGCTGATGCAGTCTCTCTGTAGCCTCCCTTCCCCGCTCTGACCTCCCCGGTCCTCTGATCCCTTCTCTCTCGGCCACCAGAAGTGTCCTTTAGCATTACTGGGCAGACCGCATTGACCCTGAGGAGACCCTGCGATGCTCCTGGGCCCCGACCACGGCCTGAAGGACGTGGCAGCTGGCCCTTGCTCTCCACACCAGCCACATTCTCTGTCTTTAACTTGGCTTCAGTCCTAGTGCACAACATGGACTCTTTGCCTGTGCCATTCCCTCATTCTGGGTGCCCTTCTCCCGTTGCGTTCTTCACATTCCTGTTGGCCTGCGGCATCCTCCAGGAAGGCACATGCGAGTCCCTGGCCAGGCATGGCCCCCTGCTCTCTGCTGGCTGGGTGTGGGCTGTGGTTGGGGCCAGGCCTCCCAGTTGCCACCTACAGGCAGGACCAAAGGTGCCCACCAGCTCACCCCTGGCTCCCAGGTCCCTGTGCACAGTCGGCCCCCGGCGTTGGGGCCCCGGTATCCAGGTCCAGCCTCAGGTCGCCCTTCCCCATGTCTTAGACTGGAGGCTCTGAACTTCCTGTGACTGCCCTGCTACCCTGTAGGGAAACTGCTATGTCTGGAATCTGACGGGGGGCATTGGCGACGAGGTGACACAGCTTATCCCCAAGACCAAGATCCCTGCCCACACACGCTATGCCCTGCAGTGCCGCTTCAGCCCTGACTCCACGTGAGTGCAGGGCCTGGTGGCCCAGGAGGGGACCTGTCTGGGGCTGGGGGCTTGACGTGTCGGGGCCCAGCTGGTGCATGGCAGGAGGGTACAGGGTGGGAGTGGCTGCTGTATGACATCCCCCATGCGCCCGCCCCCCTCCCCCCCAGGCTCCTTGCTACCTGCTCGGCTGACCAGACGTGTAAGATCTGGAGGACGTCCAACTTCTCCCTGATGACGGAGCTCAGCATCAGGAGCAGCAACCCTGGGGAGTCGTCCCGTGGCTGGATGTGGGGCTGCGCCTTCTCAGGGGACTCCCAGTACATCGTCACCGGTGAGCCCTGCCCTCCTGCCTCTCCTACTCCTGCCGGTTGAGGCTGCTGTGTCTCCTGTGCTGTGGGCCAACCTGCCTGGCCTGGGCCTGCGCCCTGAGGTGCTGCCCAATCCCTCCCTCCCACAGCTTCCTCGGACAACCTGGCCCGGCTCTGGTGTGTGGAGACTGGAGAGATCAAAAGGGAGTATGGTGGCCACCAGAAAGCTGTTGTCTGCTTGGCCTTCAACGACAGCGTGCTGGGCTAGCCTGTGCCCCTAGGGATTGCAAGCAGCCGTCAGGCATTTGGGACTGCCCGGTGCAGGTGGCACCAGTTGAATGTATTTGTACAGCCCCCAGGTCCGAGTGAAACCCCATGGGCTAGCCTCTACCAGCCCAGATGAGCTGGCCCTGTCTGGACTACCCTGGCCCCCCTTGGCCAGCCTATACCTGCCAGGCTGGCCCGCCTGGGGCTCCCTTGGCCCTGGTTGTGTGTCTGGATGTGACAGGGCTCAGGAGGCCTGCCCAAGCCAGGCTGCATGTCACTTGGCTGGGATAGCCTGCACTCCCTTCAAGAAGTTGGGACCCCCAGGGTCTGGAGAGGGAGTTGAGGCTGGTGCCCACCCCCATGCCAGTGCTCCGCCCTGCCCCCGCCCATTTCAGGCCCTGAGGCCACAGAGCACGCCAGACTGCTAGGTGGAAGGGTTTATTAGTTCCTGCTGCAGCTGCCCTCCGTGGTGCTGGCAACCTGGGGAAAGGGTGGGCCTGTGGGGACCAAGGCCGGGCTGAGCCAGGCCAGAGGGCTTAGTCTGGGAGGTAATAAAAGCAGACTGACACACAGATGTTGCTTGGGAAGCAGATGTCAATGCAGAGATAGATCAACCGCTGCCTCCGGGGTCCTGGGTGGGAGGGGGCTCCATGAATTCCCAAAGGGCTCCCCCCTCTTTCCCCTGCAGCTCCTCAGACTGCCCAGTGGGAGCCACAGGGCCCTCCACACAGCCTCCCCCAACTCACCCTCTGATCGGCGGGCCCAGTAGATGGGGGTCTTGGCACAAAGTTGCTGCACCAAAACCCCGACCTGGGCAGGGTCCACTGCGTGGCTCCCAAGCACTGCCAGGAGCTCCTGGGCATAGTGGGTGTCTTGGGTGGGGCTTTGAGCCCCTCGGGCCTGTAGAGAAGGCTCTGGTGGGGCCATGGGGTGGGGGCATTTCCGCTTCCCTGGCTGGGCGGAGCCCATGCGTCCCTGTCCCCCACCTTGATGGCCCCAGCTGCAGCTCTTGTCAGCAGCCTCAGCTAGGGGAAGATAGAGCTTTCTGTTCCCCTGAAACCAGAGCCCCAGCCTACCCTGGGCCTGGGGCCAGACTTAGTGTCCTGTGTGTAGCCCAGGCCCAGGGACCAAGCTGAGCGGGCTGCTCACCCTCGAGGTGTTCACCAGCAGCTGCAGCATGTCCCAATCCTGGGCCTCCATCAGGCGGAGGAAGCAGGCCTGGTGCTCCGCAGGGCGGTAACAGATGCAGCCCTGGGGAGGCAGGTGCGTGAGGCAGGGCCACCCCAGCACCCGCAGTGGTGACCCTCTCCCTGCTCACTCACACTTTGCCCGTCGAACAGCACCACCCAGCTGCGGTTGCTTTGCGGTGGAGTCACCATGATGGTTGCTGTGTTCTGGGCCGCATCCACCAGGGTGGTTTGGTTGGACCTGAGCACCCGGGGGCTCAGGAGAGTCAACCGGAGCATCTGCGGCAGTGGCTGAGAGTGGGTAGTTGTTCAGCTGGGCAGGCTGGGACCACCCCAACACACCCCCAGCCCTGGGCTGCAGGATTTCTGACATCACCTGAGTGGGCCCTTCCACCCCTCCAGTCCTCTGGCCATCTGCTCCTGGCCCCGGCCTCCCTTCCCCTTCCCACTGTCCACGTCCCTGGTCCTGAGGAGGGGCTCACCTTGGGAGGGCTGTGAGCAAAGCCAAGAAGCCCCCCAGCCACGGCCCCTGTAGTGGCCACTGCCAGCAGCAGCAGCAGGCCTGCGGCTCTCCAGCTGCCATAGTAGGGCTTGGTCTTCACCTGGGGGAATGCTGGGGTCAGTGAGGTCCTTGGGGTTAGAGACCAGGAAGCAGGTTTGCTTAGGGGAGGTGGGGGCTGAGGTGGGATGGGTGGTGGGCACTCCTGGTCCCTGCCCAGGCATCCCTGGCTCTTTGTCCGTGGGGTGGTTGGAGGCACTCACCCCAGCACGCCCGGTCCCAGGGCTCTCAGCCTCAGCGTGGCAGCTCCCTTGCTCCATGCTGCAGCCCCTGCTGACAATGCACCAATTGTCTGCAGCCCCTTGGAGGAGCCTGCCAGGGAAGCCGCAGGATGCCTCTGATGAGCCAAGCAACTGTACCCCTCCCCTCCTGACCCCACTGCCTCCTTCCCAGCTCAATGTCTCATATCCAGGTCAGAGCCAGAACAGTCCCCTCCCCGCCACCTGGGAGGGTGCCTGTTACCAGACCTGGCTCTCCGGACACCTGGCCTGTGCAGACTGGACAGCACAAGGGCTGGGAGGACAGGATGGAGCCCTAGTTGACCAACATGGAGGGCAGCCCAGGCCCAGCCAGCAGGACTCTATGTCTAGTTGGGGCAGATTAAATTTTTCTTAAAGGGGTTTGTTTTTAGTCTCTTGGGTTATCCCTACATTCTGAGAGCTGGCACAGGGCCTAGTTCTCAGTGAGCTGCCAATAAATGCCTGTTCGATGAATGACTGGTGTGGGATTGTGCTACCCAGTGCCTCCAACCCAGGATGGGCATCCTGCAGGGCACATGCCTAAGACCAAGTGGGTTCCAGGAGGCTGGGCCATGGGCAGGCAGCTGACAGGAGCGTCCCACATGCCCCAGGACGGTCAGGTCAGTGCTGGTGTCTGCCTGGCATAGCTTCTAACTCAGCTCTGCTTGCTGCCCTGGCTCCTGGTTTGCATCTCCAGTACCTGCCGCACGCAGCCAGTGCAGGAATGCTCATGCCAGCTTTGCTGCACTGTCCTTTCCTACTCTGGTTTTGTGTCTTGCTTTTCCTAATTCTTCAGAACCTGTTCCCCTGTAACAGGACTGAAATGGGGTGTGGCTGTGTGCTCAGGTTCTAGCTCTGGAATTGGAATCCCACCCCACCCCCACCACGGCTAGACAGCTGTGGTCTCAAGGCATGAGCAAGGAACACCAGGGTCAGTATGAGTCAGCACAGGTTTGAGAGTTTAATGTGCATTCGGGTTTACACAGTGCAACGACCCCTTGCAGGCTGGGGATGGGGTACACACAGGCTCCAGAGTGGTGGGTCGGCAGGAGAGGGCGGTATCACTGGCTGCCGCACCTGCTGCGTGCTCCTGGTGTGGGTGACAACGCCCTGACAGGCCCGCTCAATTTCCAGACCCACCTTGAGCCGACCTCGCAGAGCCAACGTCAGCACCACCAACCTCACAGGCACGGCTGCCCTCGTGTTGGCCTGCAGCACAGTCCGAACCCCAGACACCCCAGGCCTGGGAGGAGCTGAGGCTCAGGACCCCTTTATCGCTCTGAGAACTCTTAGTGAACAAGCAGAGGAGCGCTGTGATCCGGGCTGGGAGAGAAGCACTGGGTGCAGGGCAGGCACAGGGAAGGAGTTGGCCAAAAGGAACAGCTTCCCAGGCTCTGCCCTGCAAGTGCTGCTGACAGTCTGCTTATCTGGCCTGTTAAAGGTCAGCAGACTTAGGAACCAGGCCAGAAAAGGCCAGAGCCCCTGCCAGGAACCCTTGGCTGGCTGGTGGACCACACCAGTCCCCCTGCCGGCCACTGACAAGGGAATCCAGGGGCCAAGGTGGGTGGCTTCATGTCCATTGGCATTGAACCCCACCACAACCCAGGAGATGAGGACAGGAAGAGACTGGGTGTTTTGTAAAGGACCTCCTGTTCTTGGGACACTTCTTTCCTCCCTCTCCCAGAGGGTGCCCTGGGCAACAGGCGTTCCCTTGGCCAGCACATGCCTTTAGCCATGCTGCTAGCTGTAGGCATGGAGACTTCTTCAGTGGGATTTTCCCTATGAGGCAGAGCACAGCTATTAATCAAAACACTTAAGATTCAATTCCAACAGTTAACAAAGTTGTTCACAAGTTTTAAAAAACAACTTTTGGCACCAACACTGCTCTGACCCTCCTGCACAGCAGCCGAGTTCAGTGAAGGCATCCACGCCCTCTTGGTGGCTGGGCCACCAACATGCCACCAGTCCAAGTCACCTGGGTTTAAATGCACACTTGAAACAGCAGAGGTTGGGCCGGCCCGTGGCTCACTCGGTAGAGTGCGGTGCTGATAACACCAAGGCCCCGGGTTCGGATCCCACATAGGGATGGCCGGTTTACTCACTGGCTGAGCGTGGTGCTGACACCACCAAGTCAAGGGTTAAGATCCCCTTACCGGTCATCTTTTAGAAAAAAAAAAAAAAAAAAAAAAAAAAACAGCAGAGGTTTAGCTGGGCTGAGTTTACACAACTGAGCAAATGTGTATGAGAAGTGGCAGCC